GAGAAGAACGGCAAATATTCTGCAAGCTCACTGCGAATTCCTGGGAGAGTGGAAGCAAAGGTCAAGGTAGGGATGATTTTGAATATGACTCCTTGATCCTGAACTTGGAAGCAGCTCTGGTCCAGGGCCTTATTTCCTCCAGCACACCCATCCAGATCATTAACCACTGTCACTCTCTCTTAATCACCCCTGGGGTCTTTCAATTATCCTGTGTTTCCTTTCAAACATGTCAACAGAACAAGACACGGAGAACATGCTCACACTCATACGTCTCCATTTACAGCTCTGGAATTCCGAGTTTATTAATTCCTTCTGACATGGGCCAGATGTCTCTAGAGTAATTAGTAACAGAACAGGGTTAATGGAGCTGCCTCTTGGTGATGCAGATTCACTATGACTGATCGCTCACTTATAAAAATTAAATAAGTTTAATGAGTTTAGACCCAAAAGGATAGTAATAAGCTCGCAGACCATAGATCTCTCCAAAGATGTTATTCTTTTTTTTTTTTTTTTTTACCATATTTAAGACACTACCAGGTATACAGCAAGGATACAATGTATTTTTTAAAATATTTTTTTAGTTGTAGATGGACAAAATACCTTAATCCTATTTATTTATTATTTTAGGTGGTGCTGAGGTTCGAACACAGTGCCTCACATGTGCTAGGCAAGCACTCTACCACTGAGCTGTTTCTGTGCACTTGATACAAGTCGTATGGCGGTGATATTCAGAGGGAATAGTCTACCCTCTTGGGGAAGGAGTAGGGAGGCCCGGAGCACTCTATTTGCTGACTTTTTTCAGTCTCCTACACACAGAGTCCCATGGACAGCAGCCACTCCAGCTTCAGAGCCAAGGCTCAGCTCCAGAGGGCCTCCATCCATTAGGTAACTAGCTAAATCAGACAGTGTGGTGAGTTCCGGGATTCTCTGATGCCTCACCCTGGTCTGCGCTTTTCCTGCTGCCCCAGAGGCCTGTCAGCTCAGACTGCAAAGGCTGGAGGGAGCAGCCTCCCGGGCTCAGGTCATTCCGTTTCATTCCACCAGCAGTCTTGGAGTACACAGCCCAGAGCTGCCTCCGTCACTCCTCTAACGGGCCTTCGACCTTCTCCTCTTTCTGCTCATTCTACACAGTGACCTGGGAGAGGGTGGTTTCTGTCCTACCACCCGGTGCTCCTAAACCTCCGAAGCTTTCCCCTGCCCAGGGAAGGAGATCTGGATCTCCACACGCCCTTACCTAGGGACCTGTCTGTCCGTGCAGCCCGAGAACCCCAGCTCAGGCAACTCTTCAATGCCCCAACACGGTCACCTCTGAGCCCAGGGTCTTCCTTCCTGGAATCTTTCTCTCCTTCTCCATACATGACCTTCATGGTTCACACGCCCTCAGCCTTCTCCAGGGGCCCCTTTGTGAGGCTGCCCTGAACCACAGGCTCAGGTACCGGAGCACTCTATTTGCTATATCCAGGTAATTCAGCTGTCCCTTGCCACCTGTGGGGCACTGGTTCCAGGACCCTCATGGATACCCAAACCCACAGACGTTCAAGTTCCTGATAGAAAAGGGTGCAGCCTTTGCATCCTCACCCGTGCACTTTAAACCATCTCCAGATGACCCATAATACCTACTACAACGTATTCTGTAAAGAGTCATATGGTATTATTTAGGGAATAATGATAAGGAAAAAAGTTTGTACTCTTTTGGTGTAGAAATGATTTTTTCCCCCCAGATATTTCTCATCTGTGTTGGTTGAATCACGGATACAGAACCCAGGCCCAGGGAGGGCTCACTGTACATGTCCCCATTAACTTGTCACAGAGCAGAATTCACTTTGATACTTAGTGCAGTATTCTGTCTATAGTAAGGCTGTTGGATTAAAAAAAAAGTGCTCCATGTCATGTAGGGGTTTATTTTGGACAATATTTAACCTTTCTTAAGAGAAATTTGATACCAGAGGTTTAAAAGTCACGTAAATTTTGACTTGGCAATTCTAGTCCTAGAGATAAACGAGGGAAACCTAGACATACTTATAAAGATAGATGTAGGCTGTTGTAGGTGTTCACTGTTGGGGTTTTACAAGAGAGAAGGCAGTGCACACCCAGTAATTCTTGATGGACGCCAAGCAGCTAAGAAAATCACATTGTGGAATATTTACTATATAAATATTATATACTAAATATTTACTAACATGAGAATCAGCTCACAAAGTATCATTAAGCACTAAAAGCAGGTGGTAAGATCACACGTACAGCAATATTCAATTTTTATTCTAGAGAGACATGGGCAGTAGGCATCTCTCAGATCAAAGCGTGGAGGGCTATTTGTCCTTGGTGATTTAAACTTCTGGGCCTTGAACTGGGAGGGCTACTAATGTGTTGAACAGTCCCTTTAGAGGGACATTTGCCACAAATACACAACTGGGTTGAACTATGCATGAGCAGAGCAGTCTGGAGCATGCCCCACTAGGACAGGAACAGCATCTGCCGCTGCAGGAGGTGAGAAACTCAGGGTCGCATCGTGCTGCTACTGAACAATTCCTGTCAGCTTGGAAAAGGACCTATTTTTCTTGGACTTCAGTTTTCTATTAAAAGAGAGGGGTATATTCTTGCCTACCACCAGCCCCACTGCATGCTATAAAATGCTGTAGAAACTCTTTAGAAAAATATCAAACACAAAAGAGCCACTTCAGCAAATGGTGCTGGGAAAACTGGAAATCCATATGCAGCAAAATGAAACTGAGCCCCTCTCTCTCTCTCACCATGCACAAGGACCTAGGAATGAAACCAGAGACCCTGCACCTAGTAGAAGAAAATGTAGGCCCAAATCTTCATCATGTTGGAGTAGGCCCCGACATCCTTAACAAGACTTCTATAGCCCAAGATATAAAATGAAGAATCAATGAATGGAATGGATTCAATCTGAAAAGATTCTTCTCAGTAAAATAAATAATCAGTGAGGTGAAGAGAGAGCCTACAGAATGGGAGAAAATTTTTACCACACAAACATCAGATAGTGCACTAATCTCTAGGATATATAAAGCACTCAAAAATCTTAAAAATAATCTTAAAAAACCAAATAACCCAATCAATAAAAGGAGTAAGGAACTGAACAGACACTTCTCAGAAGATGATATACAATTGATCAACAAATATATGAAGAAATTTCAACATCTCTAGCAATTAGAGAAATGCAAATCAAAACTACTCCAAGATTTCATCTCACTCCAGGCAGAATGGCAGCTATTAAGAATACAAACAACACGGGCTGGGGATGTGGCTCAAGCGGTAGCGTGCTCGCCTGGCATGCGCGGGGCGCTGGGTTTGATCCTTAGCACCACATACAAATAAAAAAATAAAGATGTGTGTCCACCGAAAACTAAAAAATAAATATTAAAAAATTCTCTAAAAAAAAAAAGAATACAAACAACAATAAGTATTGGAGAAGATGTGGGGGGAAAGGCACACTCATACATTGCTGGTGGGACTGCAAATTTATGCAACCAATCTGGAAAGCAGTATGGAGATTCCCTGGAAAACTTGGAATGGAACCACCATTTGACCCAGCTATCCCACTTCTCAGTTTATACCCAAAGGACTTAAAAACAGCATACTATAGTAATGCAGCCACACTAATGTTTATAGCAGCACAATTCACAATAGGTAAACTGTGGAATCAACCTAGATGCCCTTCAATAGATGAATGGATAAAGAAACTGTGGTATACATATACAATGGAATGTTACTCAGCATTAAAAGAGAATAAAATCATGGAATTTGCAGGTAAATGGATGGAGTTGGAGAATATTATGCTAAGTGAAGTAAGCCAATTCCAAAAAAAAAAACAAAGATCAAATGTTTTCTCTGATATGTGGATGCTGATCCATAATGAGGGTGAAGGGGAGCATGGGAGGAATGGAGCAACTTTGTATAGGGCAAAGAGGAAGGGGAAGGAAGGGGTTATGGGGGTAGGAAAGATGGTGGAATGAGAGGGACATCATTAACCTAAGTACATGCATGACTCTACTTTGTGTACAACTAGAGACATGAAAAATTGTATTTTATATGTGTAATATGAATTTTAATGCATTCTGCTATAATGTGTAACAAAACAGAATAAATAAATAAATTTAAAAAATACCAAACACATGATTGGAAGCTGCTAGGATTATGATCAAGGTTCTCTAAAATCTTTAAGTATCTGATTATACTATAACCTCTGGTCACAAGGTGGTATCCAACTCAGGTGTCAATGTGCGGTGAAAAGCAATTTCACTGGGTACCCAGCTTAACAACCGTGGATGCATTCATTAACCCCTCAGGAAGAATAAAATCAGAATCCATGTGAGGACAATATTTCTAGCTTATTCTTCCTCTGAAAGCAATTCCCAAATACTTTACAGACTATTGACTCTGGTTTTCTTTCTTCCTTTTTAAAGAGAAAAGACAGTACTGAAATGAATTTTTTTATATTTTATTTTTTATTTTATTTTATTTTTTTGTCATGCTGGAGATTAAACCTGGGGCCTTGCACGTTAGTCAAGTGCTCTACCACTGAGCTACACCCCCAGCCCCTGAAAAGAATTTTAATAGAACTATAGTGGTATTTAGATCAGTAAGTTAAAAACACAACATTTAAAAGCCTGACACACTCATTATGAAGGAAACTAGGCACTATTCTTTATCTCTGCCATCGTCTGATGCTGAATCTATTTGCCCAGGCAACTAATCTTGCATCAGTCACATGGATGCCACGCACATATTTACAGATACACAGGACTGAGGGCTCTTGGCAGATGGCTGGCAGGTGCATATCAAATGCTTTTTGACACAGACACAAATCCTGGTCATGGCTGCATGTACCAAGACACACAGAGAAACACCCACACATCCCACAAGACAGCCACCCCAGAGCGGGGCCTTCAGGCCTCGGATCCAAAGAGAAAGAGAGAAAGACGTTATCCCTTGAAGGGAAGGAGGGGCTGGGGGTCCCCGAGGATGTCTCCACTCACCTGTTAAGTGGTTGGCAATCCGGGTAGTGGGTTTGGGAGGCAGGGCCGGGGGCTGCTTGAGAAGGGACAGCTGCTTCACTGGGGTCTCCTCATGGTCTCCAGAGAAAGCAGCAGGTTTTTTGGGGGGCAGTAGCAGGACTGGTTTGGCGGTAGGATCTTGGGACAGGAGGACTCCAGACTCACTGGCAGAGGGACTCTCTTCAGACACTGAGGGGACAACCACATGATACACAGGAGACATTACACAGATGCAGAGCAGGGGCCGGGATGGCGGGGGACAGCCAGGAACACAGGACAGGGACGTGGCCCCGCTAGTAAGAGAGTAGAACACCACTGCCATAGGCTGTCACACGCACGTGGGGAGCTAAAGCGAGGACACTGGGAAGCTGATCAGGCAGAGGGGTCGTGGAGGGAGGCAGAGGGAAGGCAGAGGAAGAAAGAAGGGCGGGGGAAGGATCGAGAGGGAGAAAGCAGAGGAGGAAGGACATTTGCTGGTCAAACATGACACCAGTTCAAACTTGGCATTTGTCACTGTCTGTGGCTGCTCAGTGATGTGACAACCTAACAGCAGGGAAAGTGCACAGGTCAAGGATGAAGAGCTCTGCCCAGCAAGAGCAGAACCAAGTGCTGGCCCTGTCCAGGGCCCGTGTGCCCTTTGGGGGGAAGAGGGAGGGTGCTGGTGCAGTCCGGGTGTCACCCCTGGGTCTTGCTGTGTCTGCACTCAGGTCTGGGACACCAGGTTCTGCAGACAGCGTGGAAGGCTCACATAGAAACTGCAGGCCTCGAGTGCTGGTCCTCTGGCCTCCAGTGGTCAGCACTGAGCCTCAGCCTGCAGGGAGGCTGGTTGTCAGGACACCTCCTGTCGGCCTGCTCCTACAAATCCATGAGCCCAAGATGCTAGGGGACACCTCTTTTCACCTCACCCCCTCTCCTCTTGTTGCCAGAATCCTGTGGACTTGTTTCAGTTCTCTCCATTTCCCTTTGCTCTGCAATGGGACCAACTTTTTCCTTCCCCAGGGGGACGGTGGGATGGGCTCAAGTTGGGAGCTGTCATGGTGGGTGGGGACAGCGCACACCTTCCTACCACGTTGGCAGCCTGGGTGTGACAGAGTGAGAGTCTACGACTTCTCTGGGATGACAGATTTCACTAAAACAATCACATCCACCTGATGCAATGTCATAAGGAAGGTGGGACATTTTAAAAATGATAATAAATCACTGTCTTTGGAAAATTCCCTGGAGGGGAGAATAAACTCAGCCGCATATCCTCTTGCCTCCTCTATCACTGTCCCCATGAGCAAGCTTGTCAAGGACTCCTCCCCTGTCCCGCCCTCCTTTTCTCCCTCTATCTGGAGATCACAGCAGAAATGCTTTGCAAAGAATCCCGGTGAGCACTAAATTCTCCCTGTCTCAAGGGACATTCTTATCACCAGTGATGAGCACACCAAAGTGGCCGGGACTTGCCAAGTCCCACAGCAAAGCACAGGAATGAACTCTGTGAACCACCCCATGCCCCCGGCCTCCCGCTGTGGATATGAATCTGCACACGGTAAACAGAAGGGAGGTGGCCTCTCTGCCCATCCTCCAGGTCTGCCAAGAGGTTCCTTGCCCTGGATGGGTCTCCTGACACATGTACCAGTCCTACCTGTTGGGAGACGCCATCTCAGGGCTCATCAGTATCACTGTGCAAACCCCTTGAGAGCCGAGAATTGGCCACAGGAGTGACTGTGGACCAAAGGGGGAGGCCGTGGTCAGAGGGCATCAAAGTTCACCCATCAACAGGCTCAAACTTAACCACTAAATTGCATGTGATTTAATCAACAATTAAATGAGTTGTATCCAGTAAACCGATACAACCATTCATCAGTACACTGGAGCTAGAGATTTAGGGGTATGGCCAGGCCTTGTGAACAGGCAAATTAGATCAGCACTAATTTATACAGAAATGTGGGGATTCTTCACCTTCATGACAGAGATGAGTGTAAGAAAATGAGACAACGATACTTTAAATTGTCAATATTACAAAAACCAGACACATCTCCTTTAAAATGATGGCGGTTATAGAACGATCTTTTCAAAACTGTAGAACAGCGTGTAAACACTCTTCTCGTGTTCTTAGATTCAGGATGTAGGAAGCACTCCTATGAGGTCAGCTTGACCTAAATATCCAGACCTTTGTGCTTAGGTGGCCCAGAGCAGAACCTGACGTCCAGCCCCGGCAGAGGCCCCCAGAGTGACCCCGGGGGGGTGCTGCGCTGTGACTGCCCGGGGCATTACCTGGCCCATCCATGATGTCTGAAGCTTGGAGCACCTCGTACGAGCAGGGGTCCCTCGGCATGGGGACTGGCTCCATTTCGGACAGGGCGGGCAGGGACAGCTGGCTGGAGCTGAGGGACGGTCCATTTTCCAGGGAGTCATCTTCGTTGGATATGGAGAGCTCCCCATCTGCCAGAGAGAAGGCCACAGGGTTAGATGTGTGCTGCCAGGGAAGGGTCACCTCAGAGCCCTTTGAACCATCTTTACCAAGGTCAGTGTCCAAAGCTGACTTCCACTCTTTGGCTTTTCCAACTTTTGTTCATCTTTAGACACAGGCCGTCCGACCCTCAGGACAGCTCCTTCCAACTATCCTCGGCAACTCACCTGCTGTTTCTCCATTTTTCTCATAAGCAATACGATGTTCCGTGTGTTTTTTTTAAATGGAAGTGAATTAAAATCAAGTTTTCTTTCTGATCGTCTTGTGTGTGTTTGTGGGTGATGCTGGGAATTCAACCCAGGGCCTCACCCATGCTAGGAATATGCTCTACCACAGAGCTGCATCCCCAGCCCTTCTCCTGATTTTTAAAAAGCTGGAAGACCTCAGTGGGCCTCAGAGGTCAAGACACCAGGAATGGGGAGCAAGGGCTTCGTGCCACCCAACAAGCACAGAGTGCATGGTACTCCAGGGTCCCAGGGAGACGCTCATCCCATGTCCTGTTCACCTCTGCCGTGGGGACCTCTAGGTGGAGAAACACTCAGCCAAGCTCTGAGCTCCACCCAACAGGCTGCAGCAGCCCCAGGATGCTGCTAGTGCCAGGGTTCTCCCCATGCCAACCAGCAATCACAACAACTCGGGTCCTGTTTACAACCCAGCATCCCGAGGGGCAGAGGATCAAAGGCTCCATGCGATGGCCACTTGTCAGATCAGAGTCCCCTCAGTGGGATTTCACGTTGGCCCAGGGGGGTCTTAGATCGTGAGACATCAAAGTACAATTAATTTTTAAAGAGGTCTAAAAGCTGTTCCAGTCAGTGAATGAACACCCAGATGCAAGACAAAGTCATCCTACTCGGAAGAGGGGGGCCAGGCCAGCTATCACCTGACCCAACCCGGGAAGAAAGGTGAAAGCGAGGTGACTCCAGAGTCAACCCTTTGCTTTTGCTAGGTCCCCCCACAGTTCTGACTTTACACCTCCCTGAGACATGGTGGCCCAGGACCCCCTTAGAACTGGCTCAGTGAAATGTGTGTCCAGCAGGGTAATCTGTAAACCGAAAGGCTTTGGATAGCATCGGACCTCAGGACACTCATTTGGTGTTGGGTCCTGAACCTTCTCTGAACATTAACAAAAGAATAACTGGTGTGCACAAAATCAATCGGAAGCACACAATAGGAAGCCCTGGCACTTGAACACTGGGCTGTTTTCTTTCTTCTTTTCATTCAGCCCCTTTTAGTTTGGTGTCTCCGATGGCAGGAGATGATTTTATAATTGGGATTAACAATACCATCACCAGTGATTAGTAAGAACACAGGAACCGTGCAGAGGCCAAGGCTGATGTGGTGGAAAGCACCCAGCCGAAATGAGAGTCTTCAGATGGGAAGAGGGGTGGGGTGCAGCGGTGATGCCGCATTATGGGATGGCCCCGGGTTCTCTGAACACGCATTTATTTGGCGCGTTCAAGCTGAGGCTGTGGGAAGCAGCTCTGTGTCAGGTTCCCAGTGGTGGGTGGAATAATGACACAGCTGCCATTCGACTCAAGACATCCCGGGGAGACCCCTGTGATTCCTGAGGTTCCGAGTTCAAAGTCCTGGACAGGACGGCCTGGGGGGAGGGGCTCAGTGCCAGCGCCAGGTCTGCTTCCTGAGGACAAGGAGGCAGCGGGATGACCAGCATCCCCTCTAACAGTTGAAACTGCCACAGAAACAACCCTGGGAAGGGACACCACGGAGCTGGCTTCCTTGCACCAGCCTGTGACACTGGCTCTCGTGAAGGCGGCTGGGGGTGAGAAGCTTTGGTGACACTGAGAGGTGACACTGCTCCCTCCTCTCAGGATGTGGTCACTCTTAAAAATATTAGGTTCCTTATGGACTCCAAGGACCTTTGCCAGGTCCCAAAGGCCTAACCTGCTTTGGAGAACAATTGCTCCGGGAATTCCCCTGTCCTGACTGCTGCACGCATGTTTCCATTGAAAAACAGAAATGGGAGAAAAAGAAATCAGGCACCGATCACATCGCCCTAAGAGAAACAGTGTTCTGTGTGTAAGTTTAACGGTTGTAAATCCTACCACGTATCAAATTTGTGTCTTGTTTTCTTTCTTCCCATCTAAGCAGACTTTGCATGATCATCATCTTAATGATCACACTGACGAACATCTGGACATTTACTTAGCTATCTCCATACGACCAGTCACCGAGGGATTTCCAGGGCTTTATGTGATTATGCCAGAAGTGCTGGGAGGACTACCTTCCTGTGTCAAATCTTTTTCTGAAATAAGAATTCTCCTCTTTTAGGATAAATTCGAACAAATCAATTTTAGGTGTACAAATATTCTTTTTTTTTTTTTTTTTCTTTGTGGTATCAGGAATCAAGACCCAGGGCCTTTCACCTGCTAGGCAAGTGCTCTATTACTGAGCTACATCCCAGCCCTGTGTGTACAAATATTCTAACATCTAGTGATACTATAAATGGATCTTGTGAAATTGTTTCTCTAAAAGATTTCCCAACTGACACAGGTAGCAACAATGTATAGACCGAACATGTATCTTAGCTTTTGGAAATTTTTTCAACATTAACACTAATAACTATAGCTTATCTAACTATCTATCTTTAATCCATCCATCTATCCACCTACATGTCATTCTATGTACATAGACGTAAGACACACACATATCCACACACATAATAAAAAAATTAAAATTATCAAATAGGCACCACAAACTCATTACTGATCTCATTTGTGACCCAGATGGGCAGTGATAAAAGTGAGACCATTTGAATTGGTTGCCTATAACACAAGGAGAGGATACGGCTGCCACTTTCAAGACTAAATTTTTTTTACTATGACCTTTTCAAACACAGACACAAAAGTACGAACAATAATGTAATGAGCTCCATGTGTCCATCATCATTCTAAGGAATTAGCTGAGATACCTAATGCTTCGTAATTCCAAGCATGATTAACTGGAAGACCATTTAGGCTCTCCAAGTCTGCTTAATATTCATAAGTACTGTTTGTCTATATCTCTACCAGCATTTTAAAATTTGCATTATTAGAAAAATTTCTGTCCCCATCCCCAGGAAGAATCTAACCCTCCTGATTGAGATGGGCTGATAGTTTATTTGTCCCTTTATCCATCTGCTCATTACATCTCATTTTATCATGGGTAAGACAGTTCACTGAGCTCTGGAAATTATCCTGATGCTTTATATTGCCTATAAAAATTATTTGTGTAATGGTCGAAATGGCACAAAATGACCTGAAATCTGAAGTTTCCTACTAAAATTAGTAAAATGCAAGCAGGAGGAAGGCGGAAGGCAGGAGGCAGGGGTTCTCAAGCTCTGTCAAGCATCAAGTGCCCGCGAGGCTGCTGGATCCCACCCCAGCGTCGCTGACCCAGTGGGTCTAGGCTGGGACCTAAGAATAGGCTCCTTCACCAAGAGCTTGGGGGACGCTGCTGCTGCTGCTGCATTGGCAGGTCGGGGTTCTGGCTGCTGAGACCCACTGTGTTAAGAATTGAGGAGTTGGGAGGCCAGAGACCCTGGGATGGCAATGGTGCCTTGACACAATGAGGTTCAGGGCAAGAATGTGACCCTGTGGCTGGTTGAAGCCTCAGAAAGGACAAGAGAGGAGGAGATTGCGTCATCTAACCAAGAACCACGAACATACAGTTATCACAAAGGACATTCAGGCTGGAGAAAGCAGTCAGGTGAAGTGGGGGGAAAAAGTGTCCAGAGGCAGACGTAACTAACAAGATAGAATCCGATCACAGAGGTGGCCGCCCACTGCATGCAGAAGCCGGTGCATGTGAATGTTGAGAATTTCAAATGCAGGGTGAGGTGTAGGGAGCAGGGGTCTCAGGTGCAGATGGATCCATGGCAGTGCACCAGCCCTGTTCTCCTCTTCCCCTGGGAGGTGACGGGAAGCAAGATGTCAGTAGAGTCAGGTGGACACCAGTCGAGGAGAGGGAGGGGAAGGTGAGAGTGAATGAATTCATTTGATGCACACCTGTTGAGCACACCTGTGGAGCACACCTGTGGAGCACCTGGGTGACAGCATGCATCATATAGGCCAACCCCTGCAGTGACCTTGGCCTCATGAGAATCCATGGAAGAACCGGCATCCACTGGCTGCTTCCAGAGCCCTGGCCTCCACCGCATCCCCCCTCCCACCCTGCCTCTCCTCCCAGAAGGGCAGGCACAGTGCAGACTACGGAGGATGAAACAGACACTCCTCGGGCGACCAGAGGGGACAGGCTGTCACCCAGCAAGGCAGAAATGTAGACCAGAGCAGAGGCAGCCTGACAATGGGAGGAGGTCCTTGTCCTGTGCGGACTGGTTCAGTGTCCTACAAGTACAAGGTAGGCTAAAGTTTTGACTCAGAGACTTGGCTCAGAAGACACTTTTTAAAAAAAAAAAATGTCTCATTTTCTTTAGTAATTGCAGCTTCCTCTACTGGACTCCTCCCCTGGGCCTGTGCTCTGAGGTTTTTTTTTTGTTTTGTTTTGTTTTTTTAATATTTCTTGTTTTGTTGTTGTTTGTTTGCTTGGGGCTTACTAGGGTTTAAATGTTGAATGACCCCCAAAGGTCCATGTCTCTGAGGCTCCGTCCCCAGGGTAGTGCTACTGAGAGATGCTGTGGCCTAGAGGGAGGTCCTGAGAGGTCATTTGGAGTGTGTCCCCATAAGAGATTTCTCCTCTTTCTCTGCTTGGTGGCTCAGGATGCTTTGCTCTGCCACATGCCACATGCTCCTGCCATTGCCACCCTGCTCACTCAAAGCAGTGGGTCCACCAATCTTGGGCTAGGACTGCCAAAACTCTGAGCAAAAAACCACCTTTTTTTCTTTACAAGTTGATTATCTCATGCATTTTGTTATAGTGACAGGAAATTGACTAACTCAGGCATACTCCCTGGTTTTAGAGTGATTAACTTCAACTTGACTATGATCAACTAAATTTCCTTAAAGCTAGGGCTGGG